GGTAACACACACAGACACACACACACACACACCTGCATCCACCGCTCTGACGGTAACACACACAGACACACACACACACAGACACACACACACACACACACACCTGCATCCACCGCTCTGATGGTAACACACACAGACACACACACACACACACCTGCATCCACCGCTCTGATGGTAACACACACACAGACACACACACACCTGCATCCACCGCCCTGATGGTAACACACAGACACACACACACACACACCTGCATCCACCGCTCTGACGGTAACACACACAGACACACACAGACACACACACACACACACCTGCATCCACCGCTCTGATGGTAACACACACACACACACAGACACACACACACACACACAGACACACACCTGCATCCACCGCTCTGATGGTAACACACACAGACACACACACACACACACAGACACACACCTGCATCCACCGCTCTGATGGTAACACACACAGACACACACACACACACACACACACCTGCATCCACCGCTCTGATGGTAACACACACAGACACACACACACACACACAGACACACACCTGCATCCACCGCTCTGATGGTAACACACAGACACACACCTGCATCCACCGCTCTGATGGTAACACACACAGACACACACACACACACACACAGACACACACACACACACACACAGACACCTGCATCCACCGCTCTGATGGTAACACACACAGACACACACACACACACACACACCTGCATCCACCGCTCTGATGGTAACACACACACACACAGACACACACAGACACACACACACACACACACACAGACACACACACAGACACACACACACACACACACACACACACACACACACACACACACACACACACACATACACACACACACTCCCTTTTCATAAAAAGTCTAAATATAAGCCATAAACAAACTTGTGAATTATTGACTGGAGCCGAGTGGACTTCCATGGTTCATTTTTAGCCTGTGTTTCCAGTGGTGGTGACTCCACAGATCTGAGGTCAGCTGCAGGAGACACACAGGATTCCACAGCTTTAGAGCAGGGGTGCCCAAACTTTTAGTAAGAGGCCCCTTCAGTTAACCATGTGTAACAACATGGACGGGTTCTGGGGGTTCTCTGGTCTCTCTCTGGTCTCTCTCTGGTCCCTCTGGTCTCTCTCTGGTCTCCTCTCTGGTCTCTCTCTGGTCTCCCTCTGGTCTCCCTCTGGTCTCTCTCTGGTCTCCCTCTGGTCTCCCTCTGGTCTCTCTCTGGTCTCTCTCTGGTCTCTCTCTGGTCCCTCTGGTCTCTCTCTGGTCCCTCTCTGGTCCCTCTCTGGTCCCTCTCTGGTCTCTCTCTGGTCCCTCTCTGGTCCCTCTCTGGTCCCTCTCTGGTCCCTCTCTGGTCTCTCTCTGGTCCCTCTCTGGTCCCTCTCTGGCCTCTCTCTGGTCCCTCTCTGGTCCCTCTCTGGTCCCTCTCTGGTCTCTCTCTGGTCTCTCTCTGGTCCCTCTCTGGTCCCTCTCTGGTCTCTCTCTGATCTCTCTCTGGTCCCTCTCTGGTCTCTCTCTGGTCCCTCTCTGGTCTCTCTCTGGTCCCTCTCTGGTCTCTCTCTGATCTCTCTCTGGTCTCTCTCTCTGGTCTCTCTCTGGTCTCTCTCTGGTCTCTCTCTGGTCTCTCTCTGATCTCTCTCTGGTCTCTCTCTGGTCCCTCTCTGGTCTCTCTCTGATCTCTCTCTGGTCCCTCTCTGGTCTCTCTCTGGTCCCTCTCTGGTCTCTCTCTGGTCCCTCTCTGGTCTCTCTCTGATCTCTCTCTGGTCTCTCTCTCTGGTCTCTCTCTGGTCTCTCTCTGGTCTCTCTCTGGTCCCTCTCTGGTCTCTCTCTGATCTCTCTCTGGTCCCTCTCTGGTCTCTCTCTGGTCCCTCTCTGGTCTCTCTCTGATCTCTCTCTGGTCTCTCTCTCTGGTCTCTCTCTCTGGTCTCTCTCTCTGGTCTCTCTCTGGTCTCTCTCTGGTCCCTCTCTGGTCTCTCTCTGGTCCCTCTCTGGTCTCTCTCTGGTCTCTCTCTCTGGTCTCTCTCTCTGGTCTCTCTCTGGTCCCTCTCTGGTCCCTCTCTGGTCTCTCTCTGGTCCCTCTCTGGTCTCTCTCTGGTCTCTCTCTGATCTCTCTCTGGTCCCTCTCTGGTCTCTCTCTCTGGTCCCTCTCTGGTCCCTCTCTGGTCCCTCTCTGGTCCCTCTCTGGTCTCTCTCTGGTCTCTCTCTGGTCCCTCTCTGGTCCCTCTCTGGTCTCTCTCTGGTCCCTCTCTGGTCTCTCTCTGGTCCCTCTCTGGTCTCTGAGGTGAGTGAGTTTGTAGCAGGTGTGGAATTTGTGATGTTCTTCTGAATCTATGAGACGAGTGCGACTCTCGGCGAGTGCCACATTTATATCTCTGTGGCTAACGTTAGCTATCACCAGTTTGATTGATATGGTCTTTTTTCTTGCCCTGGTCCTGGTCCCTCTCTTGGTCCTGGTCTTGGTCCTGGTCCAGAGAGCGCTGACAGAGCCTTCGCAGTGTGGCTCAGAGGGACCAAACCTTAGGCTGTGAGAGACCAGAGAAAGGACCAGAGAGAGACCAGAGAGAGACCAGAGAGAGACCAGAGAGAGACCAGAGAGAGACCAGAGAGAGAGACCAGAGAGAGACCAGAGAGAGAGACCAGAGAGAGACCAGAGAGAGACCAGAGAGAGAGACCAGAGAGAGACCAGAGAGAGACCAGAGAGAGACCAGAGAGAGACCAGAGAAAGTCCAGAGAGAGACCAGAGAGAGACCAGAGAGAGACCAGAGAGAGAGACCAGAGAAAGACCAGAGAGAGACTAGAGAGAGACCAGAGAGAGACCAGAGAGAGAGACCAGAGAGAGACCAGAGAGAGACCAGAGAGAGACCAGAGAGAGACCAGAGAGAGACCAGAGAGAGACCAGAGAGAGACCAGAGAAAGACCAGAGAGAGAGACCAGAGAGAGACAAAAAGAGAGACCAGAGAGAGACCAGAGAGAGAGAGACCAGAGAGAGACCAGAGAGAGACCAGAGAGAGAGACCAGAGAGAGACAAAAAGAGAGACCAGAGAGAGACCAGAGAGAGAGACCAGAGAGAGACCAGAGAGAGACCAGAGAGAGAGACCAGAGAGAGACAAAAAGAGAGACCAGAGTAGAGTAGAGCAGAGCAGGTGGAATCTGGTCTGGATCTGGTCTGGTCTGGTCTGGATCTGGTCTGGTCTGGATCTGGTCTGGTCTGGATCTGGTCTGGTCTGATCTGGTCTGGATCTGGTCTGGTCTGGATCTGGTCTGGTCTGGATCTGGTCTGGTCTGGTCTGGTCTGGTCTGGTCTGGATCTGGAAGATGTGTTTGAAGAAGAGATTGTCGCTCGTTGAGTTGGAACAATGTGTATTTGGACAGAAGTGGTCTGTGGAATCCAGAGCTTAAGACGTCGTTCAATTAAAGAAGCATTTGTAGAGAGATTTGGGTGAGGTTTGGGGGACACACAGAGGCTAAGTTAAGGGCCGGCCCCCTCCCATTGTGGACCCCTCTTCACACACTTATGGGACTTTGTGAGACCCTTGAGGACCAGCTGCTAATGGGGCTTTTCATGAACACATTTAATGTTACTTTGACTCACATGTTGGTCTCTCTCTGGTCTCTCCCTGGTCTCTCCCTGGTCTCTCCCTGGTCTCTCTCTGGTCTCTCTCTGGTCTCTCTCTGGTCTCTCCCTGGTCTCTCCCTGGTCTCTCTCTGGTCTCTCCCTGGTCTCTCTCTGGTCTCTCTCTGGTCTCTCCCTGGTCTCTCTCTGGTCTCTCCCTGGTCTCTCTCTGGTCTCTCTCTGGTCTCTCTCTGGTCTCTCCCTGGTCTCTCTCTGGTCTCTCTCTGGTCTCTCTCTGGTCTCTCCCTGGTCTCTCTCTGGTCTCTCTCTGGTCTCTCTCTGGTCTCTCCCTGGTCTCTCCCTGGTCTCTCTCTGGTCTCTCTCTGGTCTCTCCCTGGTCTCTCCCTGGTCTCTCTCTGGTCTCTCTCTGGTCTCTCTCTCTGGTCTCTCTCTGGTCTCTCTCTGGTCTCTCCCTGGTCTCTCCCTGGTCTCTCTCTGGTCTCTCCCTGGTCTCTCTCTGGTCTCTCCCTGGTCTCTCCCTGGTCTCTCCCTGGTCTCTCTCTGGTCTCTCCCTGGTCTCTCTCTGGTCTCTCTCTGGTCTCTCCCTGGTCTCTCTCTGGTCTCTCCCTGGTCTCTCTCTGGTCTCTCTCTGGTCTCTCTCTGGTCTCTCCCTGGTCTCTCCCTGGTCTCTCCCTGGTCTCTCCCTGGTCTCTCTCTGGTCTCTCTCTGGTCTCTCTCTGGTCTCTCCCTGGTCTCTCCCTGGTCTCTCTCTGGTCTCTCTCTGGTCTCTCTCTGGTCTCTCCCTGGTCTCTCCCTGGTCTCTCTCTGGTCTCTCTCTGGTCTCTCCCTGGTCTCTCCCTGGTCTCTCTCTGGTCTCTCTCTGGTCTCTCCCTGGTCTCTCCCTGGTCTCTCTCTGGTCTCTCTCTGGTCTCTCTCTGGTCTCTCCCTGGTCTCTCCCTGGTCTCTCTCTGGTCTCTCTCTGGTCTCTCTCTGGTCTCTCTCTGGTCTCTCTCTGGTCTCTCCCTGGTCTCTCTCTGGTCTCTCTCTGGTCTCTCTCTGGTCTCTCCCTGGTATCACCATGTATTATCCACTGAAGACATTATGTCACATCCAAACACAGGAAATGACAAATTAAAAGTCTTATTATTTTCGTGGCCAAAGATAATACTAAATATTTGATGAACTTTAATCCTAAACTGTGAGTGTGAAAGACGGTCCGAGAAGTTGATCGGAGCCAGAATTAGACAGAACTATTTCCCTGTGATCAGACCCAACGAAAACCTCAGTTGCGGATTTACTGCGGATCCATCATCGCGCCCTGAGCTTGCAGCACTTTAAATCTTCATCAGAGACGGAGAGAGCAGGACGCAGGGCCAAACCAATCACGCGCGCCGCCAGAACGTCTGATGGTAGCCGTCGCACTCATGGTTATGTTTGAGGACCCCAGGGCACAAGAGGAGGAGGCTACAGCCGGGAAGCACGAAGCCCACCTCCCTACGGCAGCATCAGACTGCAGCAGGAGGAGGCAGATGTGAAAAACAAGATTCATATAACTCCCTCTGGTGGTAGCATAGGGCTTTACAGGGAGAAGGCATTTTCACCTCTTTCTCTGCTCTCCTCTGGTCTCTCTTTCTGGTCTGTCTCTGGTCTCCATGAGCACTTCCTTCATGGTCTTGATAGAGCTAGCATGTTAGCTTCCACAGCGTATGGGTTGGACTCAGTTCAGAGACTCTGAACAGCAGCAGTGCAGGAGGATGAATGCTGAGGAGCTCCACAGTCCAAGACCAGGCCAGAGTCTCAGTCAAGTCTCAGTCTGGTCTCAGTCTGGTCTCCGTCTGGTCTCCGTCTGGTCTCCGTCTGGTCTCCGTCTGGTCTCCGTCTGGTCTCAGTCTGGTCTCCGTCTGGTCTCAGTCTGGTCTCCGTCTGGTCTCCGTCTGGTCTCCGTCTGGTCTCAGTCTGGTCTCCGTCTGGTCTCAGTCTGGTCTCCGTCTGGTCTCCGTCTGGTCTCCGTCTGGTCTCAGTCTGGTCTCCGTCTGGTCTCAGTCTGGTCTCAGTCTGGTCTCAGTCTGGTCTCCGTCTGGTCTCCGTCTGGTCTCAGTCTGGTCTCAGTCTGGTCTCCGTCTGGTCTCCGTCTGGTCTCAGTCTGGTCTCCGTCTGGTCTCCGTCTGGTCTCCGTCTGGTCTCCGTCTGGTCTCATTCTGGTCTCAGTCTGGTCTCAGTCTGGTCTCCGTCTGGTCTCCGTCTGGTCTCAGTCTGGTCTCAGTCTGGTCTCAGTCTGGTCTCAGTCTGGTCTCAGTCTGGTCTCAGTCTGGTCTCAGTCTGGTCTCCGTCCGGTGTCAGTCTGGTCCAGCGTCACCACAGACCATGAGGAGCCCACTGAGCACAGGGTTCTTCTGTCTCAGGTTCAACATGTAACTTTTGGTTCTCCTCGACCAAAGAGGAACTCATCTGCAGAGAATTGAATACTTTGCCCAACATCCAATGCTTTCATTTTCAAGTCCAGCAGCCCCTCGCTAAAACGCTCTCTCTCTGGTCTCTCTCTCTCTCTCTCTCTGGTCTCTCTCTGGTCTCTCTCTCTGGTCTCTCTCTCTCTGGTCTCTCTCTGGTCTCTCTCTCTGGTCTCTCTCTCTGGTCTCTCCCTGGTCTCCCTCTGGTCTCTCCCTGGTCTCTCTCTGGTCTCTCTCTGGTCTCTCCCTGGTCTCTCTCTGGTCTCTCCCTGGTCTCTCTCTGGTCTCTCTCTGGTCTCTCTCTGGTCTCTCCCTCTGGTCTCTCTCTGGTCTCTCTCTCTCTGGTCTCTCTCTGGTCTCTCTCTCTCTGGTCTCTCCCTGGTCTCTCTCTCTCTGGTCTCTCCCTGGTCTCTCCCTGGTCTCTCCCTGGTCTCCCTCTGGTTTCTCCCTGGTCTCTCTCTGGTCTCTCCCTGGTCTCTCCCTGGTCTCTCTGGTCTCTCTCTGGTCTCTCCCTGGTCTCTCTCTGGTCTCTCTCTGGTCTCTCTCTGGTCTCTCCCTGGTCTCTCTCTGGTCTCTCTCTCTCTGGTCTCTCTCTGGTCTCTCTCTCTGGTCTCTCCCTGGTCTCTCTCTGGTCTCTCCCTGGTCTCTCCCTGGTCTCTCCCTGGTCTCCCTCTGGTCTCTCCCTGGTCTCTCCCTGGTCTCTCTCTGGTCTCTCCCTGGTCTCTCTCTGGTCTCTCCCTGGTCTCCCTCTGGTCTCTCCCTGGTCTCTCTCTGGTCTCTCCCTGGTCTCTCCCTGGTCTCTGGTCTCTCCCTGGTCTCTCTCTGGTCTCTCCCCTGGTCTCCCTTGGTCTCCTGGTCTCTCCCTGGTCTCTCTGGTCTCTCCCTGGTCTCTCCCTGGTCTCTCTCTGGTCTCCCCCTGGTCTCTCTCTGGTCTCTCCCTGGTCTCTCCCTGGTCTCTCCCTGGTCTCCCTCTGGTCTCTCCCTGGTCTCTCCCTGGTCTCTCCCTGGTCTCTCTCTGGTCTCTCCCTGGTCTCTCTCTGGTCTCCCCCTGGTCTCTCTCTGGTCTCTCCCTGGTCTCTCCCTGGTCTCTCTCTGGTCTCTCTCTGGTCTCTCCCTGGTCTCTCCCTGGTCTCTCTTTGGTCTCTCTCTGGTCTCTCTCTGGTCTCTCCCTGGTCTCTCCCTGGTCTCTCTGGTCTCCCCCTGGTCTCTCTCTGGTCTCTCCCTGGTCTCTCCCTGGTCTCTCTGGTCTCCCCCTGGTCTCTCTCTGGTCTCTCCCTGGTCTCACTCTGGTCTCTCTCTGGTCTCTCTCCCTGGTCTCTCTCTGGTCTCTCCCTGGTCTCTCTCTGGTCTCTCCCTGGTCTCTCTCTGGTCTCTCCCTGGTCTCTCTCTGGTCTCTCTCTCTGGTCTCTCTCTGGTCTCTCTCTGGTCTCTCTCTGGTCTCTCCCTGGTCTCTCTCTGGTCTCTCCCTGGTCTCTCTCTGGTTTCTCAGTTGTTCAAAAGGCTCAAACATTATGCAGAGTCTACAAACTTGCAGAGCAGTCGTTTCCTTCGCGTTGTTTAAAAACTAAACTCATGAAAAGTGTCGCAAACATCAGTTTCAATCCAGGAAAAGTCAAATAAACTCAGAGCGAGCTCCGAGGCTCAGGTTCAGCCGAGTCCAGCTTAAAACAGCAAACACAGAGAACCAAGAACAGAACAGGTCCAGGATGGGTCCAGACCCCTGGTCTCTCTCTCTAGTCTCTCTAGTCTCTTTCTGGTCCCTGTCCGGTCTCTGTCTGGTCTGGGGTGGAAGGAGAGGGGTGCGGGGGGGGGTCTGGGGGGGGGGCGGTTGAAGGAGAGGGTGCGGGGGGGGGCTCTGGGGGGGGCGGTTGAAGCAGAGGGTGCGGGGGGGGCTCTGGGGGGGGCGGTTGAAGCAGAGGGTGCGGGGGGGCTCTGGGGGGGGGCGGTTGAAGCAGAGGGTGCGGGGGGGGCTCTGGGGGGGCGGTTGAAGGAGAGGGTGCGGGGGGGCTCTGGGGGGGGGCGGTTGAAGCAGTGGGTGTGGGGGGGGTCTGGGGGGGGGCGGTTGAAGCAGAGGGTGCGGGGGGGCTCTGGGGGGGGCGGTTGAAGCAGTGGGTGTGGGGGGGGTCTGGGGGGGGCGGTTGAAGCAGAGGGTGCGGGGGGGGTCTGGGGGGGGGGGCGGTTGAAGGAGAGGGTGCGGGGGGGGGCTCTGGGGGGGGCGGTTGAAGCAGAGGGTGCGGGGGGGGTCTGGGGGGGGGGGCGGTTGAAGGAGAGGGTGCGGGGGGGGGGCTCTGGGGGGGGCGGTTGAAGCAGAGGGTGCGGGGGGGGCTCTGGGGGGGGCGGTTGAAGCAGAGGGTGCGGGGGGGGTCTGGGGGGGCGGTTGAAGCAGAGGGTGCGGGGGGGGCTCTGGGGGGGGCGGTTGAAGCAGAGGGTGCGGGGGGGGCTCTGGGGGGGCGGTTGAAGGAGAGGGTGCGGGGGGGCTCTGGGGGGGGGCGGTTGAAGCAGTGGGTGTGGGGGGGGTCTGGGGGGGGCGGTTGAAGCAGAGGGTGCGGGGGGGCTCTGGGGGGGGCGGTTGAAGCAGTGGGTGTGGGGGGGCTCTGGGGGGGGCGGTTGAAGCAGAGGGTGCGGGGGGGCTCTGGGGGGGGCGGTTGAAGCAGAGGGTGCGGGGGGGCTCTGGGGGGGGCGGTTGAAGCAGAGGGTGCGGGGGGGCTCTGGGGGGGGCGGTTGGGAAAGCGTTCTGCTCTTGAGCTCCGGTTCCAGTCTGGTGTTTGGTTTGGGAGGTCAGTCTGCGCAGTGGCCCTGGAGGCTCCTGGATCTGTCTGCTCCAAACATATCAGCCTCTGTTTTTACAACCCGGACACCAGGAGAGAGGAATGAGAGACCAGGAGAGACCAGAGACCAGGAGAGACCAGAGACCAGGGGAGACCAGAGACCAGGGGAGACCAGAGACCAGGGAGAGACCAGAGACCAGGAGAGACCAGAGACCAGGAGAGACCAGAGACCAGGGGAGACCAGAGACCAGGAGAGACCAGAGACCAGGGGACACCAGAGACCAGGAGAGACCTGAGACCAGGGGAGACCAGAGACCAGGGGAGACCAGAGACCAGGGAGAGACCAGAGACCAGGGGAGACCAGAGACCAGGAGAGACCAGAGACCAGGGAGAGACCAGAGACCAGGGGAGACCAGAGACCAGGAGAGACCTGAGACCAGGAGAGACCAGAGACCAGGAGAGACCAGAGACCAGGAGAGACCAGAGACCAGGAGAGACCAGAGACCAGGAGAGACCAGCGACCAGGGGAGACCAGAGACCAGGGGAGAGGAATGAGAGACCAGAGACCAGAGAGGGTTATTATTGGGTGAGATGTCAAGGAAATAATTTGGACAAAAAAAGAGTGCTGCAAACAAACCAACAGTGAATCTGCTTTTGTAAGAGTAATAAATGACTCTTGTGGCTTCTTCTGTTTCTACTTTATTTTTGTCACATTTTAGTTTGAAATTAACTTTTGAAATGTGAAGTTTTGAAATCTTGGACTGGTCCTGGACTTGTCTATGACCGGTCTTGGACTGGTCCTGGACTTGTCTATGACCGGTCTTGGACTGGTCCTGGACTTGTCTATGACCGGTCTTGGACTGGTCCTGGACTTGTCTATGACCGGTCTTGGACTGGTCCTGGACTTGTCTATGACTGGTCCTGGACTGGTCCTGGACTTGTCTATGACCGGTCTTGGACTGGTCCTGGACTGGTCCTGGACTGGTCCTGGACTGGTCCTGGACTGGTCCTGGACTGGTCGTCTTCATGGTTGTCTTCTGCAGATGGGATGAACTGCATGAATAAGGAGCACGGCTGCGCTCACATCTGCAGAGAGGCTCCAGGGAAAGGGGGCGTGTCCTGCGAATGCCGACCAGGATTCGAGCTCAACAAGAACCAGAAGGACTGCACACGTGAGTACTGCACTGGACCTGGACCTTGGACCTGGACGTTGACCCCGGGCTTGGACCCTGGGCCAGAACCCTGGGCCTGAGACACTACTCTTTATACCATAGAAGAAGTGGACCAGCGGCCATCTTGGATAGTTCTAGAGCTTCATTCCATTACTAACATGTCACTTATATGGTCAAGCCAAGACCAGAGGGAGAGACCAGAGGGAGAGACCAGAGAGAGAGACCAGAGAGAGAGACCAGAGAGAGAGACCAGAGAGAGAGACCAGAGAGAGAGACCAGAGAGAGACCAGAGAGAGAGACCAGAGAGAGAGACCAGAGAGAGAGACCAGAGAGAGAGACCAGAGAGAGAGACCAGAGAGAGAGACCAGAGAGAGAATAGAGAGAGGCCAGAGAGAGACCAGAGAGAGACCAGAGAGAGAGACCAGAGAGAGAGACCAGAGAGAGAGACCAGAGAGAGAGACCAGAGAGAGACTAGAGAGAGGCCAGAGAGAGACCAGAGAGAGAGACCAGAGAGAGAGACCAGAGAGAGAGACCAGAGAGAGAGACCAGAAAGAGAGACCAGAGAGAGACCAGAGAGAGAGACCAGAGAGAGAGACCAGAGAGAGAGACCAGAGAGAGAATAGAGAGAGGCCAGAGAGAGACCAGAGAGAGACCAGAGAGAGAGACCAGAGAGAGAGACCAGAGAGAGACTAGAGAGAGGCCAGAGAGAGACCAGAGAGAGAGACCAGAGAGAGAGACCAGAGAGAGAGACCAGAGAGAGAGACCAGAGAGAGAGACCAGAGAGAGACCAGAGAGAGAGACCAGAGAGAGAGACCAGAGAGAGAGACCCAAGAGAGAGACCAGAGAGAGAGACCAGAGAGAGGCCAGAGAGAGAAACCCAAGAGAGACCAGAGAGAGACACCAGAAAAGGACCAGAGAGAGAGACCAGAGAGAGACCAGAGAGAGACCAGAGAGAGAGACCCAAGAGAGAGAGACCTGAGAGAGAGAGACCAGAGAGAGACCAGAGAGAGAGACCAGAGAGAGAGACCAGAGAGAGACCAGAGAGAGAGACCAGAGAGAGACCAGAGAGAGAGACCAGAGAGAGACCAGAGAGAGTGTTTATGGTCCATAGTAAGTAGTAGTAGTAGTAATCTTTATTTATATACCGCCTTTTCACTGCAGATCTGAGTCTCAAAGCGGTTTACAATTGTTATTTTTTGGGCATTTGTCTCTCACTCCTCACAGAGATGGGAGCGGGGTCGCCAGTACAGGAGGCGCATGCCAGAACTATTGGACATATTTTTAGTGGTAGGGGAAACCGGAGTACCCGGAGAAAACCTACGCAGACACGGGGAGAACATGCAAACTCCACTCAGAAAGGCCCTGGTCCGACCGGGATTCGAACCCAGGACCTTCTTGCTGAGAGGCAAGAGTGCTAACCACTCAGCCACCGTGCAGCCTCTCTAGTATTTACACTGTAAAAAAGACTGTAACGGTTGAGACTGTAACGGTTAAGACTGTAACGGTTAAGACTGTAACGGTTAAGACTGTAACGGTTAAGACTGTAACGGTTAAGACTGTAACGGTTGAGACTGTAACGGTTAAGACTGTAGCGGTTAAGACTGTAACGGTTAAGACTGTAACGGTTAAGACTGTAACGGTTAAGACTGTAACGGTTGAGACTGTAACGGTTAAGACTGTAGCGGTTAAGACTGTAACGGTTAAGACTGTAACGGTTGAGACTGTAACGGTTAAGACTGTAACGGTTAAGACTGTAACGGTTAAGACTGTAACGGTTAAGACTGTAACGGTTAAGACTGTAACGGTTGAGACTGTAACGGTTAAGACTGTAGCGGTTAAGACTGTAACGGTTAAGACTGTAACGGTTGAGACTGTAACGGTTGAGACTGTAACGGTTAAGACTGTAACGGTTAAGACTGTAACGGTTAAGACTGTAACGGTTAAGACTGTAACGGTTAAGACTGTAACGGTTAAGACTGTAACGGTTAAGACTGTAACGGATGAGACTGTAACGGTTAAGACTGTAACGGTTAAGACTGTAACGGTTAAGACTGTAACGGTTGAGACTGTAACGGTTGAGACTGTAACGGTTAAGACTGTAACGGTTAAGACTGTAACGGTTAAGACTGTAACGGTTGAGACTGTAACGGTTGAGACTGTAACGGTTAAGACTGTAACGGTTAAGACTGTAACGGTTAAGACTGTAACGGTTAAGACTGTAACGGTTAAGACTGTAACGGTTAAGACTTTAACGGTTAAGACTGTAACGGTTAAGACTGTAACGGTTAAGACTGTAACGGTTGAGACTGTAACGGTTAAGACTGTAACGGTTAAGACTGTAACGGTTAAGACTGTAACGGTTGAGACTGTAACGGTTAAGACTGTAACGGTTAAGACTGTAACGGTTGAGACTGTAACGGTTGAGACTGTAACGGTTAAGACGGTAGCGGTTAAGACTGTAACGGTTAAGACTGTAACGGTTGAGACTGTAACGGTTAAGACTGTAACGGTTAAGACTGTAACGGTTAAGACTGTAACGGTTAAGACTGTAACGGTTAAGACTGTAACGGTTAAGACTGTAACGGTTGAGACTGTAACGGTTACGACTGTAGCGGTTAAGACTGAACGGTTAAGACTGTAACGGTTGAGACTGTAACGGTTGAGACTGTAACGGTTAAGACTGTAACGGTTAAGACTGTAACGGTTAAGACTGTAACGGTTAAGACTGTAACGGTTAAGACTGTAACGGTTAAGACTGTAACGGTTAAGACTGTAACGGTTGAGACTGTAACGGTTAAGACTGTAACGGTTAAGACTGTAACGGTTAAGACTGTAACGGTTGAGACTGTAACGGTTAACGGTTGAGACTGTAACGGTTAAGACTGTAACGGTTAAGACTGTAACGGTTAAGACTGTAACGGTTGAGACTGTAACGGTTGAAACTGTAACGGTTAAGACTGTAACGGTTAAGACTGTAACGGTTAAGACTGTAACGGTTAAGACTGTAACGGTTAAGACTGTAACGGTTAAGACTGTAACGGTTAAGACTGTAACGGTTAAGACTGTAACGGTTGAGACTGTAACGGTTAAGACTGTAACGGTTAAGACTGTAACGGTTGAGACTGTAACGGTTGAGACTGTAACGGTTGAGACTGTAACGGTTGAGACTGTAACGGTTAAGACTGACGGTTAAGACTGTAACGGTTAAGACTGTAACGGTTAAGACTGTAACGGTTAAGACTGTAACGGTTAAGACTGTAACGGTTAAGACTGTAACGGTTAAGACTGTAACGGTTAAGACTGTAACGGTTAAGACTGTAACGGTTAAGACTGTAACGGTTAAGACTGTAACGGTTAAGACTGTAACGGTTAGACTGTAACGGTTAAGACTGTAACGGTTAAGACTGTAACGGTTAAGACTGTAACGGTTAAGACTGTAACGGTTAAGACTGTAACGGTTAAGACTGTAACGGTTAAGACTGTAACGGTTAAGACTGTAACGGTTAAGACTGTAACGGTTGAGACTGTAACGGTTGAGACTGTAACGGTTAAGACTGTAACGGTTAAGACTGTAACGGTTGAGACTGTAACGGTTGAGACTGTAACGGTTAAGACTGTAACGGTTGAGACTGTAACGGTTGAGACTGTAACGGTTAAGACTGTAACGGTTAAGACTGTAACGGTTGAGACTGTAACGGTTGAGACTGTAACAGTTAAGACTGTAACGGTTAAGACTGTAACGGTTAAGACTGTAACGGTTAAGACTGTAACGGTTAAGACTGTAACGGTTAAGACTGTAACGGTTGAGACTGTAACGGTTAAGACTGTAACGGTTAAGACTGTTTCACTGAATCGCATTATGACTTTGTGGTTTCAGGATTTAACTATGATCCTGGTCATTCACTTCCTTTTCCTTTAATGAACACAACTTTTTAATTATTTTTTCACATATTCAGTTTATTCAAGAAAGTAGTGTAAATGTTTCCTTCTCTAGCACGCCTAACCCAAGAGCATTGTTTTAACAGAAGCAGGAGGTTATGTTCAGTTATGGTAATCCATGGTGATTTTATGGTTTGGGTAATCAACACCACTGGATATTTTTTACCCAATTTATTCTCAAATTTGCAGTCTACTGTATATAACGGGTGCTATTCCATAATGTGCATTATAATGTTTCCACTTAAATAAGGATGTATGAATATCAGATCTGTGTTTTCTTCTTCCTGTGTTTGGCTCCAGTCACCTGTAACTATGGTAACGGCGGCTGTCAGCACACCTGCGACGACACCGACACTGGACCTGTGTGTGGGTGTCACCAGAAGTATGCTCTGCACTCAGACAGCCGGACCTGCATCGGTGAGTGAGACCAGAGCGAGACCAGAGGGAGACCAGAGAGAGACCAGAGCGAGACCAGAGGGAGACCAGAGAGAGACCAGAGGGAGACCAGAGGGAGACCAGAGGGAGACCAGAGGGAGACCAGAGGGAGACCAGAGGGAGACCAGAGAGAGAGACCAGAGAGAGACCAGAGAGAGACCAGAGAGAGACCAGAGGGAGACCAGAGAGAGACCAGAGGGAGACCAGAGAGAGACCAGAGGGAGACCAGAGGGAGACCAGAGAGGAGACCAGAGAGAGCAGAGGGAGACCAGAGGGAGACCAGAGGGAGACCAGAGGGAGGCCAGAGAGAGACCAGAGAGAGACCAGAGAGAGACCAGAGGGAGAGACCAGAGAGAGACCAGAGGGAGACCAGAGGGAGACCAGAGAGAGACCAGAGAGAGACCAGAGGGAGACCAGAGAGAGACCAGAGGGAGACCAGAGAGAGACCAGAGAGAGACCAGAGGGAGACCAGAGAGAGACCAGAGGGAGACCAGAGAAAGACCAGAGAGAGAGACCAGAGAGAGACCAGAGAGAGACCAGAGGGAGACCAGAGGGAGACCAGAGAGAGACCAGAGAGAGAGACCAGAGAGAGACCAGAGAGAGACCAGAGGGAGACCAGAGGGAGACCAGAGAGAGACCAGAGAGAGACCAGAGAGAGACCAGAGAGAGACCAGAGGGAGACCAGAGGGAGGCCAGAGAGAGACCAGAGGGAGACCAGAGGGAGACCAGAGAGAGAGACCAGAGAGAGACCAGAGAGAGACCAGAGAGAGACCAGAGAGAGACCAGAGAGAGACCAGAGAGAGACCAGAGAGAGACCAGAGGGAGACCAGAGAGAGACCAGTGAGAGAGACCAGAGGGAGACCAGAGAGAGACCAGAAAGAGACCAAACATCACTCTGAGCCTGCTCTGGTCCTAACTTGTAATAAATGTTTTACAAATGGACCCGGGACAAAGAGAGACCCTGGTCCTTCCCTCACCTGTCAAGGACATGTGTCTATCTGTGTTTCTTTCTGTGTCTGTGTCTGTCTCTCTGTGTCTGTGTCTGTGTCTCTGTGTCTGTGTCTGTGTCTGTCTCTCTGTGTCTGTGTCTGTATCTCTGTGTCTGTCTCTCTGTGTCTGTGTCTCTGTGTCTGTCTCTCTGTGTCTGTGTCTGTGTCTCTGTGTCTGTGTCTGTGTCTGTCTCTCTGTGTCTGTGTCTGTGTCTGTCTCTCTGTGTCTGTGTCTGTATCTCTGTGTCTGTCTCTCTGTGTCTGTGTCTGTGTCTCTGTGTCTGTCTCTCTGTGTCTGTGTCTCTGTGCCTGTGTCTGTCTCTCTGTGTCTGTGTCTGTGTTTCTGTGTCTGTGTCTGTGTCTGTCTCTCTGTGTCTGTGTCTGTGTCTGTCTCTCTGTGCCTGTGTCTGTCTCTCTGTGTCTGTGTCTGTGTCTCTGTGTCTGTCTCTCTGTGTCTGTGTCTCTGTGTCTGTCTCTCTGTGTCTGTGTCTCTGTGTCTGTCTCTCTGTGTCTGTGTCTGTGTCTCTGTGTCTGTCTCTCTGTGTCTGTGTCTCTGTGTCTGTCTCTCTGTGTCTGTGTCTCTGTGTCTGTCTCTCTGTGTCTGTGTCTGTCTCTCTGTGTCTGTCTCTCTGTGTCTGTGTCTGTCTCTCTGTGTCTGTGTCTGTCTCTCTGTCTCTGTGTCTGTCTCTCTGTGTCTGTGTCTGTGTCTGTCTCTCTGTGCCTGTGTCTGTCTCTCTGTGTCTGTGTCTGTGTCTCTGTGTCTGTGTCTCTGTGTCTGTCTCTCTGTGTCTGTGTCTCTGTGTCTGTCTCTCTGCGTCTGTGTCTGTCTCTCTGTGTCTGTCTCTCTGTGTCTGTGTCTGTCTCTCTGTGTCTGTCTCTCTGTGTCTGTGTCTGTCTCTCTGTCTCTGTGTCTGTGTCTCTGTGTCTGTGTCTGTCTCTCTGTGTCTCTGTGTCTGTCTCTCTGTGTCTCTGTGTCTGTGTCTCTGTCTCTGTGTCTGTCTCTCTGTGTCTGTGTCTCTGTGTCTGTGTCTGTGTCTGTGTCTCTGTGTCTGTCTCTCTGTGTCTCTGTGTCTGTCTCTCTGTCTCTGTGTCTGTCTCTCTGTGTCTGTGTCTCTCTGTGTCTCTGTGTCTGTGTCTGTCTCTCTGTGTCTGTCTCTCTGTGTCTCTGTGTCTGTGTCTGTCTCTCTGTGTCTGTCTCTCTGTGTCTGTGTCTCTGTGTCTGTCTCTCTGTGTCTGTGTCTCTGTGTCTGTCTCTCTGTGTCTGTGTCTCTCTGTGTCTCTGTGTCTGTGTCTGTCTCTCTGTGTCTGTGTCTGTGTCTCTGTGTCTGTCTCTCTGTGTCTGTCTCTCTGTGTCTGTGTCTGTGTCTGTGTCTGTGTCTCTGTGATAACCAGATTGTCTTGCAGCCGGAGCCTCCTGGATGTGTCTGTCCCTCTCCTCTCTCCTCCTCCTCTGATGCAGCCTCCCTACTGTGTCTCCTCCTGTGGCACTGCTCCTTCTCTGGGTCCTGCCGGATTGCCTGTGTTGTCTGTTGAGGGAGGGGGGAGGGGGTGAGGAAGGGGGTGTGGGGGATGCAGGGTGAGTAGGGGGAGGGAGGGACCATCTCAATTGCAGCCTGATCTTGAGCTCCACAAAGCCCCAAGTCTCTCTGTCCTTTCATCGGACCACAGTGTCCAGTGCTGAGGACAGCTCCTGTCCTGAGAGCTGCTATAGAGCTGCTGTAGAGCTGCTGTAGAGCTGCTATAGAGCTGCTATAGAGCTGCTATAGAGCTGCTATAGAGCTGCTGTAGAGCTGCTGTAGAGCTGCTATAGAGCTGCTATAGAGCTGCTGTAGAGCTGCTGTAGAGCTGCTATAGAGCTGCTGTAGAGCTGCTATAGAGCTGCTATAGAGCTGCTATAGAGCTGCTGTAGAGCTGCTATAGAGCTGCTATAGAGCTGCTATAGAGCTGCTATAGAGCTGCTATAGAGCTGCTATAGAGCTGCTATAGAGCTGCTATAGAGCTGCTATAGAGCTGCTGTAGAGCTGCTATAGAGCTGCTGTAGAGCTGCTGTAGAGCTGCTGTAGAGCTGCTGTAGAGCTGCTATAGAGCTGCTGTAGAGCTGCTGTAGAGCTGCTATAGAGCTGCTGTAGAGCTGCTATAGAGCTGCTATAGAGCTGCTATAGAGCTGCTGTAGAGCTGCTATAGAGCTGCTATAGAGCTGCTATAGAGCTGCTGTAGAGCTGCTATAGAGCTGCTATAGAGCTGCTGTAGAGCTGCTGTAGAGCTGCTATAGAGCTGCTATAGAGCTGCTATAGAGCTGCTATAGAGCTGCTGTAGAGCTGCTGTGTTAGAGCTGCTGTAGAGCTGCTATAGAGCTGCTGTAGAGCTGCTGTAGAGCTGCTATAGAGCTGCTATAGAGCTGCTATAGAGCTGCTATAGAGGCTAGCTGCTATAGAGCTGCTGTAGAGCTGCTATAGAGCTGCTATAGAGCTGCTATAGAGCTGCTATAGAGCTGCTATAGAGCTGCTATAGAGCTGCTATAGTGCTATAGAGCTGCTATAGAGCTGCTGTAGAGCTGCTATAGAGCTGCTGTAGAGCTGCTGTAGAGCTGCTGTAGAGCTGCTGTAGAGCTGCTATAGAGCTGCTGTAGAGCTGCTGTAGAGCTGCTATAGAGCTGCTGTAGAGCTGCTATAGAGCTGCTGTAGAGCTGCTATAGAGCTGCTGTAGAGCTGCTATAGAGCTGCTATAGAGCTGCTATAGAGCTGCTATAGAGCTGCTATAGAGCTGCTATAGAGCTGCTGTAGAGCTGCTATAGAGGTGCTATAGAGCTGCTGTAGAGCTGCTGTAGAGCTGCTATAGAGCTGCTATAGAGCTGCTATAGAGCTGCTATAGAGCTGCTATAGAGCTGCTATTAGAGCTCTAGCGATCGGCGCAGAGACCCGGTGCATGTCTGCAGTACGACAGAACACTCCCAGAGCAGTCATTTTGACGGCTCCCTTTCAAATCAGTGAAATTCTGAAAAGTGTTATTGTTTCACTGGCATTATTAAAATTAATAAATGTGTATTATTGACCTTTTAACGAAAGCTAACACTTGTGAATGCATTGGCTTTTATGTAACTTAAATACAGAAATGCTCAATAAACAGTGTGTTGCTCTGGTAACTAGGACTTTCTCTTCTCTGATGGTGACAGGCTGAACCAGAACTAGTCCAGGACCAGTCCAGGACTAGCACCTTGATACTGGGCCACAGCTGTCACAGGATGTTGACCAAGAGAATGAAAATGACAAATGTGTTCATTTTCATGGCACTAATTACACTTCTCTGGGAGTTCTCTGTTAAACAACTGAGAGAAAATGAAAGAGCAGTCAGCAGGGACTCAGGTCTAAACCTCACAGAGGAGCAGTCTGCAGGGACTCAGGTCTAAACCTCACAGAGGAGCAGTCTGCAGGGACTCAGGTCTAAACCTCACAGAGGAGCAGTCTGCAGGGACTCAGGTCTAAACCTCACAGAGGAGCAGTCTGCAGGGACTCAGGTCTAAACCTCACATTCAGTGTTAGTTAATCGAAGCCCAACAGGGAAGTGCTCAAGGTGAAGTTTGGCTCCTCTCTCTGGCTCCTATTGGCTAAAAGTAAACCCCTCTCAGTAACTTTTGTGTGACATCACCATTTTGGGCCTATATCTGTGGTTTCTCTGTGATCCTGTGTTTATATGTGATGTTGTCTTTGTAAATCCAGATGACCATATAAGGACTGACCAATCAGCTCCTGTGAGAGGGACCAGAGAGAGACCAGAGAGAGACCAGAGAGAGACCAGAGAGAGACCAGAGAGAGACCAGAGAGAGACCAGAGAGAGACCAGAGAGAGACCAGAGAGAGACCAGAGATAGACCAGAGAGAGAGACCAGAGAGAGACCAGAGAGAGAGACCAGAGAGATAGACCAGAGAGAGAGACCAGAGAGAGACCAGAGAGAGACCAGAGAAAGACCAGAGAAAGACCATAGAGAGGCCAGAGAGAGACCAGAGAAAGACCATAGAGAGGCCAGAGAGAGACCAGAGAGAGACCAGAGAGAGACCAGAGAGAGACCAGAGAGAGACCAGAGAGAGACCAGAGAGTGGGCGGCACGGTGGCTGAGTGGTTAGCACTCTCGCCTTTCAGCAAGTCCGGGGTTCGAATCCTGGTCGGACCAGGGCCTTTCTGAGTGGATTTTGTCTGCGTAGGTTTCCTCCGGGTACTCCTGTTTCCCCTACCACTAAAAAACATGTACAATAGGACTCTGCATGTGCCTCCTGTATTGGCCCCGCTTCCATCTCTGTGTGAGTCCTCTGGTCAGTCCCCTGGTCAGTCCTCTGGTCTGTCCTATGGTCTGTCCTCTGGACAGTCCCCTGGTCAGTCCCCTGATCAGTCCCCTGGTCTGTCCTCTGGTCAGTCCCCTGGCCTGCCCCCTGGTCTGTCCCCTGGCCTGCCCCCTGGTCTGTCCCCTGGTCTGTCCTCTGGTCAGTCCCCTGGTCTGTCCTCTGGTCAGTCCCCTGGTCTGTCCTCTGATCAGTCCCCTGGTCTGTCCTCTGGTCAGTCCCCTGGTCAGTCCCCTGGCCTGCCCCCTGGTCTGTCCTCTGGTCAGTCCCCTGGTCAGTCCCCTGGCCTGCCCCTGGCTGCCCCCTGGTCTGTCCTCTGGTCTCTCCTCTGGTCAGTCCCCTGGTCTGTCCTCTGGTCAGTCCCCTGGTCTGTCCTCTGGTCTCTCCTCTGGTCAGTCCCCTGGCCTGCCCCCTGGTCTGTCCTCTGGTCTCTCCTCTGGTCAGTCCCCTGGTCAGTCCCCTGGCCTGCCCCCTGGTCTGTCCTCTGGTCTCTCCTCTGGTCAGTCCCCTGGTCTGTCCTCTGGTCAGTCCCCTGGTCTGTCCTCTGGTCTCTCCTCTGGTCAGTCCCCTGGTCTGTCCTCTGGTCAGTCCTCTCCCACAGTGTACACATTAACCATGCGTCGCCTGCTGTCACTAACTGTGCTCTGCGTGGTCCTGAGACTCTGCTGCCCAGTCTGGACCCTGGAACCAACAGCAACCACACTGACCACACTGACCACTCTGGTCTCACACTGACCACACTGGTCTCATATTGACCACACTGACCACACTGACCACTCTGGTCTCACATTGACCACACTGACCACTCTGGTCTCATATTGACCACACTGACCACACTGACCGCTCTGGTCTCACATTGACCACACTGACCACTCTGGTCTCATATTGACCACACTGACCACACTGACCACTCTGGTCTCACATTGACCACACTGACCACACTGGTCTCATATTGACCACACTGACCACTCTGGTCTCATATTGACCACACTGACCACACTGACCACTCTGGTCTCACATTGACCACACTGACCACACTGGTCTCATATTGACCACACTGACCACTCTGGTCTCATATTGACCACACTGACCACTCTGGTCTCATATTGACCACACTGACCACTCTGGTCTCATATTGACCACACTGACCACACTGACCACTCTGGTCTCATATTGACCACACTGACCACACTGACCACACTGGTCTCACACTGACCACACTGATTCTCGTTGGGATCCAATAGTGACAGGAAATACACCAAACATGCAACACGAGGACACATGGTCCTCAGCAGGTGCTACATGGTGTCCACAGACACCCACATGTCCCTGTCCACAAACAGACCTCTACATTATGCACTTGTTTACTCTACTCTACTCTACTCTACTCTACTCTACTCTACTCTACTCTACTCAACCCTACTCAACTCTACTCTATTCTACTCTACTCTACTCTACTCTACTCTACTCTACTCTACTCTACTCTACTCTACTCTACTCAACCCTACTCAACTCTACTCTATTCTACTCTACTCTACTCTACTCTACTCTACTCTACTCTACTCAACCCTACTCTACTCTACTCTACTCAACCCTACTCAACTCTACTCTACTCTACTCTACTCTACTCTACTCTACTCTACTCAACCCTACTCTACTCTACTCTACTCTACTCTACTCTAATTTACTCTACTCTACTCTACTCTACTCTACTCAACCCTACTCTACTCTACTCTACTCTACTCTACTCTACTCAACCCTACTCAACTCTACTCTACTCTACTCTACTCTACTCTACCCTACCCTACTCTACTCTACTCTACTCTACTCTCCTCAACCCTACTCAACTCTACTCTACTTTACTCTACTCTACTCTACTCAACCCTACTCAACTCTACTCTACTCAACACTACTCTACTCAGCTCTACTCTACTCTACTCTACTCTACTCTACTCTACTCTACTCTACTCTACTCAACCCAACTCTACTCTACTCTACTCAACCCTACTCTACTCTACTCTACTCAACCCTACTCAACTCTACTCTACTCTACTCTACTTTACTCTACTCTACTCTACTCTACTCTACTCTACTCAACCCTACTCTACTCTACTCTACTCTACTCTAATTTACTCTACTCTACTCTACTCTACTCTACTCAACCCTACTCTACTCTACTCTACTCTACTCTACTCTACTCTACTCTACTTTACTCTACTCTACTCTACTCTACTCTACTCTACTCTACTCT